ATTTAGGAGATCTTGTGAACTTGTTACGCTGTGCTTAGTTAGGTCTTAAGAAGACATTAAGTGGGACAAAATCTGGAACATCCTTTCTTCGTTTAGAAATCCCTCTCCACATAAGAATTAGAACATCACACAGAGCCGGGCTTCCCTTTTTATTACATAGACATTTAGGCAAGGCTTAGCCAAGCGGGTTACTGAGACTCTTAGGGGTGGTATTGGCATTGTCGGGGTCTCTTGGAAGAGGCATTAACCTCATTTATAGCTCTTTGCTGGAAGTTAAAAATGCCCCGCAAGAAGCCATTTAGCAACAAGCAGAAGAAGAAGCAGCTGCAGGACAAAAGGGAGCGCAAGAGAGGTAAGTGCTGAATGCCTGTGTTTTGTACAAAATATAATAAAAGGCATGCAGACCATAGTGATCATTATTATGTATTTTTATTTCAGGTACTTGTATAGCACCATCAATTTACGCAGCGCTTTACATATATATTGTATTTTTTACATTCACATCAGTCCCTAAGGCTGGCCATACACTATACAATTGTCTTGAGAATTTTGCTTTAGATTTACCAAAAATCATATAATATGAGGTCAAACCTAAACAACACTTTCAATTGTATCCAATTAGGCAGATTCTTGCACTTCATGGTTGAAGGTAAATCTAAAGGAAATTGGGCAGAAAATTGTATAGTGTATGGTGAGCCTAACCCTCAAGGGGTGTACAATCTAAGGTCCCCAACTCCCAGTCATACATACACATACTAGGGGAAATTTAGACAGGATCCAATTAACCTACCAGCATGTCTTTGGAGTGTGGGAGGAAACTGGAGTACCCGGAGGAAACCCACGCAGGCACAGGGAGAACATGCAAACACCAGGCAGGTGGTGCCGTGGTTGGGATTTGAACCAACAACCCCAGTGCTAACCATTTAGCCATTATGCTGTCCATTATCATTATATAAGGTTCAGGGCTAGACCTCTTCTCTGAAAGCTCAGTAATAGCCACCATTCTACTTTCATTTTGTAAAGCGCTGCATAAACTGTTGGCGCTATATAAATCCTGTATAATAATAATATAATAATGTCATGGGGGTTTTTTTTGCAGAAGGTCTTTGTAACTGTTTTAATATGATAGTGCTTTGTGATGCTTAGGGGCTAGTTACATCAGGCTGAACTTGAATGTAAATGTTAAAGAGCTAGTCTTCTGTTCTCACACCTCATAAACCCACTCACTGGCTGCCAGTGCCCGAAACAAAATGTATTTGCATAAAATACACTGCTCAAAAAAATTAAAGGAACATTTGAAAACACATCAGAAGTCAGTGGGGAAAAGTCTCATGCTGGATATTTGCATATCTATACTGATATGGACTGGGTCATGTGTTAGGAACGTAAGGATGCCCCATCGTTTGATGAAAATGATCAACCTACAGGGGACTGAATTCAAAGACACCCCGAAAATCAAAGTGAAAAAATGATGCAGCAGGCTAGTTCATGTTGTTGAAATTTCATTGCAGCAACTCAAAATGGTACTCAGTAGTTTGTATGACCCCTGCGTGCTTGTATGCATGCCTGACAACATCAGGGCATGCTCCTAATGAGACGACGGATGGTGTCCTGGGGTATTTCCTCCCAGATCTGGACCAGGGCATCACTGACAGTCTGAGGTGCAACCTGGCATCGTATGATGGACCGAAACATGATATCCCAGAGGTGTTCTATTGGATTTTGATCAGGTGAGTGTGGGGGCCATTCAATGGTATCAATTCTTTCATCCTCCGGGAACTGCCTGCATACTCTCTCCTTATGAGGCCTGGCATTGTTGTGCACCAGGAGGAACTCAGGACCCACTGCACCAGCGTAGGGTCTGACAATGGGTCCAAGGATTTAATCTCCATACCTAATGGCAGTTAAGGTGCCATTGTCTAGCCTGTAAAGGTCTGTGCATCCCTCCATGGATTACGCCTCCCCAGACTATCACTGACCCACCACCAAAACTGTCACGCTGAACGGTGTTATAGGCAGCATAACGTTCTGCACGGCTTCTCCAGACCCTTTCACATCTGTCACATGTGCTCAGGGTGAACCTGCTCTCATCTGTGAAAAGAACAGGGTGCCAGTGGAGAACCTGCCAATTCTAGTGTTCAATGGCAAATTCCAGTTGAGCTCTATGGTGCAATGAGCACAGGGCCCACTAGAAGACATCAGGCCACCCTCATGAAGTTTGTTTCTGTTTGGTTCGAGACATTCACACCAGTGGCCTGCTGGAGGTCATTTTGTAGGCCTCTGGCAGTGCTCATCCTGTTTCTTCTTGCACAAACGAGCAGATACCAATCCTGCTGATGGGTTAAGGACCTTTCTCGGCCCTGTCAAGCTCTTCTAGAGTAACTGCCTGTCTCCTGGAATCTCCTCCATGCTCTTGAGACTGTGCTGGGAGACACAGCAAACCTTCTGGTAATGGCACATATTGATGTGCCATCCTGGAGGAGGAGTTGGCCTCCACCTGTACAACCATACCTGTTTTGGGGGTTGTCTCATTGTTGCCCATCTAGTGCACCTGTTGTTAATTTCATTAACAATAAAGCAGCAGAAAATGATTACCAACCCCCTCTGCTACTTTAAAGGATACGTTCAGCTTTGGAGCATGTTACATGTTCCACCTGTTTGTAGGGTGGAGCATGTAACTTGTTCCCATAGCTGCTTCCACCCGTCACCCCCCCCCCCCCCCCCATACGGCTAGCAGATATTCTGACAGGTCTGCAGGAGACCTGCACGGCATCAGCGATCTACTGGAATGCTTTACATGCTCCTTTGGACAAAAATAATAAATGCACATTTTTTTTTACCTGGAAAAAAATAGCATTTATTATTTTTGTCCAAAAGGTGAACTTTTAACTGACCAAATAAATATTCCAGGAGTTTAATTTACTTGATGCTATACTCTGGTTAAAAAATGTTCCTTATTTTTGTTAGCAGTGTATAAGAAACTGAAAACAAAAATTGATGCAGCACTGACTCTTCCCATTCAATAAAAAGTTTTTTTTTTTTTTTTTAATTATTTCCAAGGGTAGCCACCACACTCTATATGTGAGGTAAGTGCCTGGGTGCCTCACAAAGCAAGAACCATATAAAATCTAAAATCAGTATAGAGGCATTCACAGGTCTGGCAGCTGAAATAAATCAAAGCAACCACATTTTACTTCAAGCATTATTTCTTCAGTACTGTGCAGTGTGAGGCAGTCCACCACTTTGGCTTGCACAACACAGCAGCCATTTGAACTAAAAATGGTTGTAAACCTCAGAAATGTGAACAAAGCATATCCCTCTAGAGTGTTTTATATGTCTCAATCCAGAGCACTAAGTGTCATTTCTGTCTGCTGCCTTGCTATCAGCATGAATCACTTTTGACACGTTTTCCTGACACCAAAAGAAAAATGGTGACAGGGGTGGGACCTCCAGCAGATTGACAGCCTCAGCTCTTTTCCTGTGAGCTGTGTGGAAGAGGATATGTCTGTTCCCTCCAATCAGCTCTCAGAGCTCCCCTCATTGAGCTCTGCAGAGTGTAACTTTAGCTGTCCACCTCCTCCCTTTTACTGAGCTCTCAAACACGCTTTATAAATTCAGCACTTTGAATGGATGTATAGAAGAGAAGACTGCAGATAGACAGGTACAACTTATGTACGAGGTTTTGTTTGCTCTTTCTGTATCTCCTGAGGCAAGTCACTTCGTTGGGTTTACAACCACTTTAATTGAATGTCTGTGTGATTTTAATAAAATTCGTTAAAAAAAAAAAGGGTACAATGCAATGCGCTGAGATCGATACTGCAGCATCCCACTGTTCCATACCACACACCAGCAGCTGGCCCTAAATGTTGCTGATAAAATGCCGCCACACCCATGAGTGCCTCTATATCTGTGTTGGATTTGTATGGTTATATGTACTGTATATAACCTTCTTTCTGTGTATTACACTAACACTATTATACTGCCATAAATGAAGTCCTGATCTCTAAGGCCTCTTGCACACTGCACTGATGTTTGAGCATCTGTTTTGGATGTAATTTCAGGTGTTTACTTTGTACGTATTACGAGTTTGCGCACACATTATAGTCTTGGGGAAAATTCATTAATATTTACCCTCATAAGCACGCATTTGCATGCATGTGGCATAAATTATCAAAAATGCAGATTTGCCTTCTTTCTCTTTTTTTTAACTGAGTAATACACTGTGCTGGTTTACGCATCTGTGTGCACAGGCACATTGTAAAAAATGGGCTATATTTTACCTCCGTAATAAAAAAATTATTTACTGAGCTTTTTCAAGCTGCAGTGTGCAAGAGGCCCGAAATGTAAAAAGGTGCTTCACACATCTATGAACAGTAAAGTCTCTCTTCGCAGTGCAAATAAATCTCTCTGTAGTGTGCTGATATCGAATATTATTTTTTGTTTCTGGAGCCTCTAAAGTATTGCACCAGCGATCAGCAGATCACTGGTGCCACGCAGGTCTACCCCTGACCTGTCAGTATATCTGCTTGCTCTTGCATCCCGTATGAGCAAGCAGATACTAATGACAGGAAGGCTCAATGAAATAAGATTGTGACAGGGGGGAACTTCTGCCCCCTTGCTAGCTGTCACAATGGGGGGGGCCAGTCAGATCGTAACATGTTACACCCTGAATATGGGTGTAACATGTTACGAAGGGTGTACTTATCTTTTCAATTGCTAAACCTATGCTAGACAGGGCCACATAGCCAGTGGGGTTGATTTACTAAAGGAGTAGCACGTTGTTTTTGCAAAGGAAATTTTCACTTGGCTTAGTAAATGAGGTAAAGCTGAGTGCAAATCCACTCTGAAAAAAATACCCGATCCATAAAGGGTTTTTTGAGTTGTCACAGAACTATATTTCATACATACTATGAAATTGGAAATTCATGCTGTTTTAATAATAAGAATTATTAAATGCAGTCTAGATGTGTTTTTTTGGGACTCACATATGTCACTAATACATGCTTCACTTCATTTATATTTTTATTGTATTTGCAGGACCTCTGGAAGCTGGACGTTCTGAGTCAAACAGTCGCAGCCAGAGCAGAGAACGGGGAGAGGAAAATACTGACACCTCTGACAGCGAAAGCCTCCGTCCCCAAGTCAGACGTCTCAACCAGCAGCCACAGGTTTCCAGACCTGGGGAAAAAGGCTATGACCCCAACAGGTTCGTGTGTAATGTAAACGTTTCTGTAAGAATTTATATGCTTGCTCCTGTGTTGGTGTTATCTCCACATTTGTGGAATATACATGTTTAAATGACCTCTGATTATGGCTCTTTGAGAGCCATTCTACTGCTACATGGCAGAAAGTGGCAGCAGATACTATGTATGACAGATGCAGTAAAACATGGGGTGAGGTTAAATCTCCTGCTGGGGACTCCTGTTCTGGTAATCTCTGACAATGGTGGGATTTCCTTATTTTGAGGAGATTTTCTCATCTTGACAGGACATGAGCAAATCTCCCAGGTTCTAAGATTTACACGTCTATAACAAGTAGATGCACACAACCAGGGATACACACCAAGTGAAAGCATTACAATGTATAAACATTTAGTAAATAATGTTTTTAGAGATGCATGTGAACAAGGTCAACTTAAAGCTTTTGTCAGTGTTTGTTTTCCTTTTGTTTGTTTTTTTTACCAAGAAGGCAAAATGTTTTTGTTTAATAAAAACTGAGATTACAGTATAAAGCATTGAGTTGTACAAAAGTTGAACAGGAATGGTTACAAACAACCAAACTAAAAAGAGACAACCCCATGGTGACAATCTAAGTATAATGCTGATCATAACACAGTAGTGGAGACCTGCACAAAAGATTGAATTTGCCGCAGCAGAAAATAATCAGCACATCCCCTACATGGAAAAGATACCGGTATATGGAATGATATATATACATGGAAGATAGTATATGAAAAAGATACACACATCTACATGGATGATCATAAAAAAAAAGCAAGTGTACATCCAGTATATGAAGCTAATAGTTCATCCAGACCTTCATTATCTGAGAACAGGTATCAACAGATTGCAGCCAACAATCCCAAATTTTATTATATTTGACAGGGCAGTCTCTATTAACATATATCATTTTCTTTAAAGTGAGGGTATTTTTAATATTTGCCGTCCACCCCTTCAGTGTAGGAGGAAGCGTCTGTAGCTTTTGTCTGTGTTTACAGAAAACACTTTCAGATTTACAGTTTATTAGTGAACAAACTCTGCTTTAGTCAATTCCCATTGACCCAGTTATTCACCATGACCCAGTTATTCCCCTTCTTAGACATTTTGCCCCTTAAATTGAAAAGGCGAATCAAATCTGTCAGTCCAACTGCCCATTAAAATCCACATTTCCAAAAATCACCTTAGCCCGCTCAATACATTCAGGTGTGAAAGTCCCTTCATCTTTCCTGTCTTCTGTCTAGCCAGTAAAAATCTAGTGCCAGGCTGCTTGAACACTAATGTTCCATAGGCTTGGAAATTGGAGACTTCCTGTTCCTGTCTTTTGTCCGGAAGGTTGGGGGTGGCACACCTGAATGTATTGAGGGGACTGTGTGTGTTTTTTGTTTTTTTTGTTTTTTTTTTTTTTTGTTTTGTTTTTTATGTTTTTATGTTGAATTGTTCTTTAAAAGAAACCTCTGAACTTTTTTTTTTTTTTTTTTTCCTTCTGTTATTTCTCTCTGCAGACTGCAGCTAGGGGACTGTCAGTCTGGTGCTCCCCCCCAGTGTACAATACATAGGCAAAGCATACAAAAAAGAATACAATTTTATACAGAATTTACAAATTTCCTTTACACAATACTATGCTCGAGGAATGGAAAGGTCATCCTTTTATTTAGAGTGTCATATGTATATATATATATGAGAAACTAAGACTGAATTCACACTGAAACAGACAGCTGCCGGAGCGCTGTACCTCTCTGACAGCTGTCCGTTCAGACTGCAGTAGGGGGTGGTGTGGTGCATGGTTCAGCGCATCACAAAGCTCTTTTTTTTTTTTTTTTTTTTTATTTCACTGGACTTTATTTCAAGTGTATAAAAGTACACTTCATGTCCCTGTACAACTGCACAATGCGCTGCCTTGCTGTACAGTGACATGCGATCCAGTATGATGTGCTGTGATAAAACGCAACAAGTCTACATTTCATTGCAGCACATCTCCAGACTGCATTGCACTGTGAATGGGGTACACAGAAAACAATTGTTTTCTGTATGTTCTTGCAGTAACTTGCATTTTACCAACCAGTAAAATGCCTGCCTCTGCACATAGTGTGAATTCAGCCTTGAGTCTACATATCTGGTGGCAGCCATTTTGAGTCTCTTATCTTACCACTGTTTGCAAAATTACTCTGCATATTCTAATGATGGGTAGCAAGAGACAATGTTGTCTGGCCAGCCCTGGTTAGACTTTTCAGGAACTGATTTTTCTCTTTTTATGTATGATGGGTACCGTTTTTTTTTTTTACTCAAATAATTAGTGTGATATGGTAAGACATGGGTGCTCAACCTGTTGAAGAGTGAGGGCCACAATGAAATGGTTCCGAATTTTTAATTTTTTTTATTTTGAATAGCATAATGAATATTTTCCTTCTACAGCCAATGAATGCTGGTGGGAGAGAGAGATGGAGAAGTCGGCTTTCAGTGGTTGCAGGAAGAAAATTGAGAGAATCAGTTTATGTATAAGTCACCCCCTTCACCCCTCCTGTACAAGTGTAAAACAGAATGCAATAGGGAGGCCACGCGGGTCCTGCGGAATATAGTGCAGTGTCGTCCCTGTGACCCCCGATGCTACACCAGTGATTGGGGGGGGGTGTGGTAAAAACACCTCTTAACTATGGGGATTTACGCCCCCCCCCCCCCCAACCTCAACTGTGAAGTCCTTATCTATAAGGCTGCTTTCACACTGATGCGCTGTGGTTTACCCACACTGTGGGTGCAGCACAGTTCACCTGTGGCTTTCCTGAGGGTTGTCTGCTCTTTGCCATAGACTATTATATCTTGCAGGTGTGGTGTACTTTCTGAAAGCACACCAAAACTCCTGGATTCAATTTGAGGTGGAGGGTTACATCAGAGGGCTCCGAGGGCCACAGGATGAGCACCCCTGTGTTAAAACTATAATACGCAGTATCAATTCTCATAAAGTGTAGTGAACTGCTGTAAATAATGGTGACATCTTATGGTCTTGACATTTTATTGTAGGTATCGACTTCAGTTTGAGAAAGAAAGCAAAGATGAAATTGAACGGAGGAAGAAAATTGCCCAGGAAAAAATCCTGGAACCTGTTTCAGAAACCGAACTGGAAGTTGATATAATGAAGATTTACAGACCTGGATCAGGTAACTTTGTAATGTTATTTTAAATGCCTTTTTTCTTGAGGTGACCATAATGTAACTATTTTCAAGGAAACACAGTGTATTAAGAGGGACACCATCATGTTTTCTACTATTCAATATCTTAAAGGAGAAGTAGAGCCAAAGCTTTTTTGGCTGTACTTCTCCTATGGATCACAGGAGTGCAGTACGTTCTGCACTCCTGTGACCCAGTTTCAGCTGACAGCGGGCCGAAAACCCGACGTTGGCTGACGTCACTCAACCAGTCCAAGCTGGGGAAAGATCCCAACTTTAAACTCGGGATCCACCCCAGAGTCTGGAGCGGCACCTGGCTAAGCCTCTACAAGAGCCATTAAGAGCCTTAGCAAGCCACTCCCTCATCTTCCACAACCCAGCACTCCAGAGTGGCTGTGAAAACTCAGTGGTCGTGATCTCTGAGTTCTCACCCTTCGAGTCGGCGGGGGACAAATGCAGCATTGGACCCATGTTTCATCCTCCTAGGTAAGTATAATTGGGGGGGGAAGCCCATACTTCTCTTTTTAATAATAATTTCTATTCTTTAAAAAGGATTATTTATACAAAAAGGGGTTATACATTTTATAAACGCTGGCAAATTAGGAATACAAGGGCATCCAGTGACAATTTACTACAGTAAAAAAAGTAACATTATTGTCTCTCTAGTGACGAAAATCAGGAGCCACATTACAGACTAGTATACTTTCTTTTAGCAACCTTTACCAGAGACTTGCTTCCACACTGGGGCATAAATTCTGCTCCTTTGGTGAACTGTGGGGGGGTTACGATCTGGTGTAATAACACTGTTCACAGGTAAAAATTTTTGGCAAAAAAGAGCGAATCTTACATAATTTTGGGAACCCTAAAAAAATTTATTGGCTCTAGCTGGCATCAAAGATGCAGTATCTGGACTGATTGTCAATTCATAGGTTTAATAAAGCAAATTTTCTGCTGCGGTGAAATAACTTTTTTTATCTCACACAAAAAAGAGGATAACAGGAAATGATTAAGTGGGGAAGACGGCACTGGAGCAACATGGTTTGAATGGAAAAAAGGCATCTATGGGCATAATTCTGCTCCTTTGGGAACTGGTGGGGGGGTGTTTACTATCTGGTCGTATAATTTGTTTTCACAATATAGCAGTCATTTTCTGATGAGTGTAATTTAAGGCCCCATTCATAATAGTGTGTTTTGAATCATGATGATTCTGCCCACAATTTCAAAATGCTCTGTTAAAATGTGAAATCGCGAAACCGCATGCTTAGGTGGGATTCATTTTATTGGCATATGAAAACACTTTGCAGTTTTGTCTCGATTGTCATGCAATAAATAGCAAGCTGCAAATCGCATCAGGCAACATGCATCATGTGATGTGGTTTGCCGCAATTACTTTTACAGAACGAGGGTGCATTGCCCTACGCATCAGAGGCCAACGGTATAAAACAACCTTTACTGAGGACTTTTTAATAAATTGTATATGTAACTGTGTGTGCTTGTTCACTTCAAGGGGGTTTCTGAGCTTTTGTGTAAAAAGATCTATTTGGTGGTCAGTAATGGTCAGAAAACAGGAAAAAGACAATCCTTCCCACTGTACTACTGTGCAGCCACCTAATGTGGCCACGAGGGGATGTCTGTCAGGTAGTGTCACAGCCATGAGATAAGTAGTGTCCACCTTATCCAGCAATGGTGATTTTAGAAGCCTTATTATATCTGTGGCACAAGACTAAGTCTCTTTAAGAAATGTACATTAAACAATAAAGGTTAAGACTGAAATAAACCTCATTATTTCCTGAACTCCCTTTTTTATACAATTGGGGGTTCAAAAGTCCCCTGGCTGTAAAGAGTGTAGAAATCGATCCCTATACTTCGTGTACCTATTCTGACCATTTATAGTAAACTACTACCATATATATCAAGGTGGTCAAAGCTATGATTTATCATGTGACAGTTGCGGCAGATGAAACAATAAAGAGTATTTCATTACAGATAGTGCTAATAGCTGTTAAACAGTAACGATATGTCGCTCTTTATTCCAGCAGCCTTGTAGAAAGACTGTGTACCAAAGGGATAAAGACATGAAAATGATATTGGTAGTTGGGTAGTGTGAACAGGCCTTCTGATCTCCAGTGTTTAGTGAAGTTTAAATAGCTTGTATGGACTGAGCTGGTCCAAGCAAACTATTTACTTCACTAAGCCATTTAGCACCCCTCAGCACTGTATGGACTGTATGTAGCCTCAGCTACATACAATACATAGCTCTGTTTTTTCAGCAGTGGGATGGGAACGTCACATCCCACACCTAGTACAAAATTGAGTTGGGCTGAGTGCTGCTCAGCCACTAGCAACGTGCTTTGTATTTGCTGAATGAATGCAAAGCTTCCACTGATTGGCCGCTGCATGTATTAGTGAAGTAAATATTTAATTTGGACTAGCTTGGTCCAAACAAACTAAACTTTATGGATAGCTGAAGACCAGGTTTATGACCTCTGCAGTAGCTACACTATATTAAATTGGAGATCTTTCTTGCAATTATGGTAAAGTTACCTTTGCACTATTTACATATATTAGCATTTCATTATTTGAAAAATAAAGTCCAGATAAGCAGATGGAGAGATGTAATATTAACTAAAGATGGTTATAAAACGAAGAATTTGGCCTCTGCAATGGAGACCTGGGTAATAAAAACAGAAGTGGGTAGGCTAAAAGAAGTTAGAAAGAAGGGTTTAGAACTGAACCTGTGGCCAGGCCATGGGAATTCAAGTATATAAATATTTTTTAACAAGCAAGCAGTATATGAGCTGTAAATCCCTTTTCCATATTCTCTATTTAGGAATGGTAACAGTCTTGTGCAGTATAGGAAGGCTTCCTCAGCTAGAAATTGCCAAGGAGGCCAAGTATAACAGAACTGGCACGATTAAGTAGCTCTGTGCAACCCATTTTCTGTGAATATTTTTACATAAATTTATAAAGGAAGCAAGGTGGGAAGAAGAGTAAGACAGAAAAAGAAAGCTGAGGGCAAGAGGAAAAAGGATGATGGAGGGGTTAGTGTGTGGGAAGGGGGAAGAACTCCCTAGGCACTAAAGAAGGGTTACTTCAGAAATCCTACCTTAGCCTTCTTGGAGGAAGTCACTCGGCCGTGATGGATTATTAGTTCGTTTTTGGTTCCCCTCACTGGAGCACTTTTTTCAAATCTCATTAGTAACAGGACCACATGCAATGCTAGTTTGTCAAAATATCATTCAAAAAGCTATCTCGCATGATCCAGCATTTGGTTAGTTGCAGTCTGTAGGCAGCGTTAGGGTTTGTTTGGCCATGTACTAATGATTGGAGAAGAAAATTCCGAAAATAACTTTTTCCTTAAAATTTTGGAGATGGGAAAAAAAAAGGGAAAGGCTGAAGATAAAATTGAAGAAGGACCTATGGGTTCATGTACATGAGCATTTGTTGGCACCTAAACTGCTTTTCTTTCCCGTACAAGTCAATGTGAATGCAAAAGCAGGGCATAGCAATTCCTGAAAACTAGATTTTCAAATACAATTCAAATGAATAATTTTGCAGTCCATATGGCCTCCCCACCCCCCATCCCACCCCCAAAAGTTGGATTGCTGATCCCCTTTTTTTTTTTTCCCCCCGATCCTTATGTAAATATGACATTTTATTAACTGATGGCTTACAAATATGTACGCTTCTCTTGAAACTTCCAAGAGTAGGTGTGCAAATACTGAGAACGACATTACCTTGCATGCATAGCACCATGAATCCCTTCAGTGGCATGTGTTTATCTCAGGAAGGGTATGCGCTGTCAATCAAGTTTTTCAGTAGGCAGGCATAAGTGAGGAGAGTATTCCACCATGTCCCAGTGTGCACTTCAAGGCAATATGTAACGGGAAGATGTGTGTTGACACACAGGATTGTAATGCTCTGCATGAACAAGCCTCCCTGGACACTACTGGTTCTGCTAATGAAATGTTTTGACCCAGGGACAGGAAGCGGGATTACACCTTCAGAAAGCAGTAGGAAGAGGTGGTATTATGAGTATACCACTGACAGTTTGCTAGAGTGCCACTGCTCAGAGGACATCATGGTAGGCAGCAGTTTTAATTGAATAAAAAATTAGCATTTACATACTTTCTAAAGCACCTTAAAGGAAAATCAAAGCAACTTAGAAGCACTTATAAACATGCAGCATATAAATGCTTCTGAATTTGATTCAGGTATACATGAACCATTGGAGCTGTGAGTCAGAAGATGGTGAAAGCAATGAACAAAATAAGCCAAGCTTGGGCATGAGGTCTGAGTCTTTTAGGGGGTTGCTTATTGGTGAAACTCCATCCTTATAGCGATACCTAATATTGTCTTACATGATTTGCTTATGGATTCTTCTTTTTTCATTTTATCCTTTAAAGTGTTAGACTTCCCAAAACGGCCAGCCTGGAATTACGACATGAGCAAAGAGGCTGTGCAATTACAGGAGGAGAAGTCATTTAGAGATTATCTCCAGAAGATATACGAGAGTCACAACCCTCGAGATCTCAGCTACTTCGAACACAACCTGGAGGTGAGAGAGAAATTACTGCTGATAATAGGCAGGATCATCTTGGCTTTAAATAAACTTGTCGTGAGGGAAATGCAAAGGTTCCCATGGCTGACCTGCTACTTAAAGTGCTATTTGACTGGCTTCTATGCTGGCCCATCACTTTCCATCAAGAAACGGTTATGCTAATTGAAAAGGTCATAATTTTTATTTGTTTTGCACTCGCACTTTATTTCACTCCTTTGATGCAACGTTTGAGTAGTTATATAATTATATAGCATTTGTTTACTTCAACAATAATATATTGCCCATTTAGATATTTATTTTGGTTGATTTTTATGTCATTGCATTTTTTTTGAAGCACTGCACTATTTGCACATAATTTTTTATTTGTTCATTTCAAGTATTGAAGCAAAAGGGTCAGATTCAAAGCCAGGCAGATAGCCTTTTCAGAATTGTTGCCCACACATTTCTTTTGCCAAGTTTTTCTTAAAAATGATGGGTTTGCTTTGCCTTGCCAGCTGCATTTTACCAATTATTCCAAAGTTTGTTTCTGTCTGGCTAGTGTGGTCAGTCTGTTTAAAATGTAAGAAAACAAACCATACAACAAGCCTAACAAAAATCACCTTTTTCTGTTCTCTCTTTAGACCTGGCGTCAGCTCTGGCGAGTTCTAGAGATGTCAGACATTGTCCTGCTGATTACCGACATCCGGCACCCGGTCAGTATTATGTGTCACTGTCTCCTATTGTGTTTGCTTTGTAGTACTTGCTTTATATGCAGACCTGTCATTAGACGTTCTATTGCCTGATGCTATATGGCACAGCACAAGTGGTTGTCCTCTGATGTTATGCATTCATTTGTTTAAAAGGTAGATCTTTTTCAGTCAAATCATTCATGCACAACCCCAAAGTCAGTTAATATAGACCTGTATAAAGCAATAAATATTGTTTTTTTTTTTCATACATTTATTTATTGAGTTAGGACTGAGAAAAAGTAGATAACCTTTTTAAAAATGCAATTTTTAATTCCATGGCCTAAAGCTGTGCAAGGATTGAATCAAAACCTGATGTGCTCCGATAATGCCTGAAACAAGGCAAGTGTTTCAATCAACAAGGCAATTTTCCATCACTGTTCAGCATTCAACAGAGTTATTTTATTCCTCACTAAGAATATGAAAGAAAAGTGGTAATCATACTGTCTGTCATTTGCGTTAAATGACAAACCGCAGCAGGTCTTGACGCTGCAACCCCAGCCAGATGTCTCTTGTTTGTTTCCCTTAGGAGATATCTGCCTTTGTGTGGCTGGTCTGAGTGTGGGAATGACCGAGTAACATGGGATCTGTTGCAAAGCAACAGATCCCATGTTGCTCACAATGCTAACCTGTTTCAGGCATTAGCTGAGCCAGATTATACACACGGCAACCTAGGCAGTAGCTTAGTGCTTGGTGCTTGTCCAGGGAACCCAGCTAAAACCTTGATTCTCCTGCAGTATATCAAAGGGATGGCAATGTTGGTTAAATCTGTACACCTGCCAGTCACTTCTTATGGAAGAATGACCTTGCAAACAGTTGATATCTGATGTTGCGGCCATGCCAGTACAACAATGCATTTCAGCCTGCAAATTTCACAATTTAATTGATGCCAGATAATATAGTACTTGTTACACTTCTGACTCTGTGATGATGAGAGCTGCTGCTCCCATACACAGAAGCTGTACCTACGTTTATCTGCTCCTTTTCTTCCCCTGTCCACTCGCCTTGTATTCTGGGAATAAAATCTGAAGTGTTCTGTAAATGGACAAGGGGACAGGAGGAGCAGATAAATGGCAGGAAGCTTCTGTGGAAGAGAGCCACAGCTCTCAATCACAGTGCCAAAAGTAGAGTGGGAGCTCTACAATCTAGCATCAGTGAAAGTTTCAGTAATAAAGAAATGGCAGCAATTCTGGAGGTGGCATACACCTCGAGAGTTAACTGGTACGCAGGACATTTTAATTAAAAAAAACAAAACAATGCCTGAAGTTCTACTTTAAACATAGAGAGAGAGGGGCTTTTTCAGATACTCCCCCACCCCTTATGATCCTTGCTTAAGGTGGCAGCCTTTGGTATGATGAAAAAATGTAATAAATACAGGCCAGGTCCCCTTTACATAAGACATGTATACTGTACATACAAACAACTCTTACATTATGAAGGGAAAAGAAGGGAACATGGAAGGCAAAATATAAGCAGTTTAAATTTTATTTTAATTGCCACTCTCTTCTCAGCTTCACATGTGTAATTTTCCCTTTTCTCCCCCACTTCTTGGTTCATCTGCTAGGAGTGATGCTTGTGTCTCCACTTTCTTCCTCCTCAGAGTGCTGGTAATTGGTGGTTGGTCATTTAGGCTCCTGACACATTCACATGGGGGCAGGAATAATGTACTCAGTCCTGTGTAAACTCCAAGTTATAACTTCAAGCATTTGATTGAACATCCTCTCCTCTCTCCCAACATCTAAACAAAGTGGCAGGGGAGTAAAAGAAAGACAACTTAAAAGGAGCCAGACAACTATTTGATAATAAATGGCTTCTTATGTTTGTCATCCTTCAATAAAAGAGCATTTTTTTGGCATGATCAGTCATATTTTCAATATCAATGCCAAAATTTCACAATTTCTGCCAGGGTGTGCAAACGTTTAAGCACATTTGTAGAAGACAATGGGCAGGGCTTGACAATACTCAGTCCAAAAAAAAAAAAAAAAAAAAAAAGAAAAACCTGTCTTTTGTCAGCAACACTATTTGGGGAACTGAGTTAACTTCAGGCAGATAAACGGGTACTTTTTGTGTGTACTTGCAGGCTCTTTAAATGGTTAGACTTGGCACATGTGCATGTATTGCAAAGATGTAACGTATGGTGTGTTTGTTGTTTTTCTTTTTTTTTTTTTGTCTGGTTTTTTTTTTGTCTGTTTTTTTTTTTTTTTTTTAAACTTCATATGAACTTTAAGTGGACTTGTTGTTTTGCTCTAGTACTGCATCAATGTATGGCTGACAGAGAAGCCTAGAGCTGGATAAATGGAGGGACCAGTGAGCAGGGGCCACACTATGACATGCTGAGTGGAGAGGGAGGGCGGGCTCACATGCAGCTCCTACTTCCTTACACCTGTGTCAGACTGCAAAGCTGGGTACACACACTGTGTGTTTTTCGGGGGTTTTTTCCCCTTAACCAGTAGGTTTAATGGGAAGAAAAACTGACATATCACTGCATCAACACAAGCGAAGTTGATGCAGTGATTTTTCACGCTGATACATTGTATTCTGACAGGGGGACGCCCCTCCAAACACCACACACACCACAATACACTCATCAGCGCTCGCAGCCAGTGGGTGCAAGCGCTGATCAAATGCTGGTTTTCCAGCATGCCAGTTCGATAGAAGTTGGTTGTTAGACCAGTTTCTGTAGAACAGACAGCTGTACACATGGACCGAAATTCATCTGGCTCCTGCTGAACTGGACGATTTTCGTACCATGTGTACCTAGCTTTAGAGTCTTGGGGACCCTATAAATATTGGTTTTGAAACAAAATGTTTTTTTTCTGGAATTGCTGTGGTTTGGTCACGTAACCAATAAAAAATGCTGTATTTAGATGGACAAACATCTCTCCCTATACCAGAGGTGTTCTTTATGAAAGCTCTTTAATAAGGAAGTAAATGCAAGATATTCAGAGTAACATTCAGTGTCTTTTAGGTGCTGCATTTCTCTCCAGCTCTGTATGACTATTTGACTGTGGACCTGGAAAGATCTCTGATCCTCGTTCTCAATAAGACTGATCTGGCTCCTCCATCGCTAGTGGTGGCCTGGAAACAGTATTTTCAGGAGATGTTTCCTCATGTCCATGTTGTTTGCTTCACATCTTACCCCAGACATCCAGAGGAAGAGCAGGACCCCTCTGCAGGTATCTAACGTGGGAGCATGTGAACAATTGGTGTTACCTGTCCTGTCATTGTTTTCATCTTTCCCTTCCTTTGTCATAACTGCCATTTTCACATCCAATTGTCTATAGTATCCATTTTATTTGTATGATACTCTGTTTTCTTTTTGCTACTATGCGATATGTTTTTGGCTTTTTCCTACTCATATGATACTTTTATTGTTTGTACACTGACTTGGTTTCTTTGGTATATTGTTTCTCAAATAAACATAAGACACTTGTTAAAACAGAACTTCACTCTCTCAATCAACATGGCCTACTTTTAATCCTTGAGCTGCTAACATTGTTAATAGATAGAAAAATATATTGTATTTACTTTGTTTTAAACCTTTTATTTATTTTTTTACATTTCTTCAGTTACTTCCTGGTTTCCATGCCAGGGCAAATTATGTCATATATGCCAGCAGTCTTCGGGGGGGAGGGAGGGTTCTCAGCTCAGCCTATGAGTGAGCTAAGAGCAAACGGATTCCAGGTAGTAAATGCTACATGAATTATCTGCCTTTAGTCAAGATGGCCACGGCCAGAAATGCCAGGGGGTGTTTTTCAAAATGATTTCTCCGCAAAATAAGGCATGGAGATGTGTATGGTTGGGCAGTCTGCTTTGAATATTAAAAATTAATTAAACTGTGTTTTTGGTTTGTGGTGCTCAGATGCAGTGTGGTTCCAGTTTAAAGAGATCCTGTCACTTTATCCACTCAGGGCCAAGTGAGAGTGTCTGCAGGTCACCACTCCAGCTGAAGCACTGTCATATGGTCCACTTCATTAGAGAAGCAGAGCTATGGCTTGCACTGCCAAGTACTCACTAGGGCCCATATGTACCAGATGTTATCATGCATTTTTCTGTCCAGGCTTTCCTACCAATCCCTTCAAAAAAGTACTGCATGTTGCATTTTGAATGCATTAATTTGCAATTTGCCAAGCAACTCAGCATGTCAACAGTTGGCAGCACAGGTAAACAAAATTCATGTTAACATATGTCTTCTGATATGCTTGAGTTCTTTAGCTTTATGTCCAGAAAATATAGTCCCCAAATGGGAAGGAGCGACTATTTAATAGCCATCCTCATGAAGGCAGGTATTATGTCTAGAGGTATGCTGTGTCCACCAGTGAACTTGTCAAGAATTATGACTGTTAGTGTTGCAGTCTCTTTCTGCTCTTTAGCTGCTCCTTCATTGATCAGCTTTCTTTTTTTTTCTCCTATGTGCTTAACTGATCTCTGCCCTTTTTTCTCCTGCCAGTGTTTAAGAAACGTAGAAAGAAACGTCGAATTTGGAGTTCAGCTTTGGGCCCCAATCAGTTGCTCCAAGCTTGTGAGATCATCACAGCTGGAAAAGGTAAGACAACATATACACTGCTCATAAAAATTAAAGGAACACATTTTAATCAGAGTATAGCATCAAGTTAGTTAAACTCCAGGGATATTGATCTGGTCAGTTAAGTAGCAGAGGGGATTGTTAATCAGTTTCAGCTGCTTTCGTGTTAATTAAATTAACAGGTGCACTAGATGAGACGACCCCTCCAAAACAGGAATGGTTTTAAAGGTGGAGGCCACTGACATTTTTCCCTACTCCTCTTTTCTGACTGTTTTTTACTAGTTTTGCATTTGGCTAGAGTCAGTGTCACTACTGGTAGCATGAGGAGATACCTGGACCCTATGGAGGTTGCACAGGCAGTCCAACTCCTCCAGGATAGCACATCAATATGTACCATTGCCAAAAGGTTTGCGGTGTCTCCCAGCACAGTCCAAGAGCATGGAGGAGATTCCAGGAGACAGGCAGTTACTCTAGGAAAGCTGGACAGGGCCGTAGAAGGTCCTTAACCCATCAGCAGGACTGGTATCTGCTCCTTTGTGCAAGTAGGAACAGGATGAGTACTGCCAGAGCCCTACAAAATGACCTCCAGCAGGCCAATGGTGTGAATGTCTCTGACCACACAATCAGAAACAGACTTCATGAGGGTGGCCTAAGGGCCCAACATCTTCTAGTGGGCCCTGTGCTCACTGCCCGGCACCATACGCTGGTGCAGTGGGTCCAGGGTTCCTCCTGGTGCACAAAAATGCCCAGCCTCATGTGGCAAGAGTATGCAGGTAGTTCCTGGAGAATGAAGGAATTGATACTATTGAATGGCCCCCATGCTCGCCTGACCTAAATCCATTAGAACACCTCTAGGATATCATGTTTCAGTCCATCCGATGCCACCAGGTTGCACCTCAGGCTGTCCAGGAGCTCAGTGATGCCCTGGTCCAGATCTGGGAGGAAATACCCCAGGACACCATCTGTCGTCTCGTTAGGAGCATGTTCCGAAGTTGTCAGGCATTCATACAAGTACAAGGGGGCCATACAAACTACTGAGTACCATTTTGAGTTGCTGCAATGAAATTTCAGCAAAATGGACTAGCCTGCTGCATCATTTTTTTTTTTTTTTTTCACTTTGATTTTTGGGGTGTCTTTGAATTCAGTCCTCTGTAGTTTGATAATTTTCATTTCCACCAAACGATGGGGCATCCTTACGTTCCTAACACATTACCCAGTCCATATCAGTATAGATATCCAGCATGATATTTTTCCCCATTGAGATCTGCTGAGTTTTCAAAGTGTTTTAATTATATGGTCACCCGACTATACTTACTATATAGTTATCCTTCAAAGTTCAGGTATTTTCAATGAAGGGTACAGTTAAAGAATATGCAAACCTACCATTTCATATTTCTTATATGTGTCTTCTGTACTATGTACTTGTATGAAAAAGTATCCTATTCTCTTTGTATTGCTTCCTGTCTGTGAAATACCTGGGGTTCCTGCCAGTCGCCTTGCCTTCCTCTTAAAAACTGACCACACTAGGCATGAAATCACAGGGTTGTCAGTTTTCTAGTTGTACTGGGAGCTAATCCAGTGATCAGGCTTGTTATGACATGACACACGGCAGATTAGTATGCTGCTGTTTCTCCTCCCCTAACTTCATATGCAGCTGAGAACAGAGGGTATGTGATCCTTTTATTTAAAAAAAAAAAAAAAAAAAAAAAAGGTATTTATAATATTTTTTTATATGTGTAAACAAAGTTTTGTCTTTCATGTCTATTTTAAACTGAATGGGTTGTTTGACAAGGTGAGGGTTTACATATACTTTAATGTTACATCATACAAAGTCATAGATAATTGTACACTTAGAGCCTTGCAGCAACACATTGGGGAAGGCCCTTTTCTGTTACAGCATGACTGTGCACAAAGCCAACTCCAAAAATACTTGGTTTAATGAGTTTTGCATAGAGGAACTTGAGTGGGCCTGTACAGGACCTTGACCCCAACCTTACTGAACACCCAAGGAATAAGTTGGAAAGTTGATTGCAGCCAGGCCTTCTTAGCTGACATCAGTACCTGACCTCACAAATCCTTGTTTGGCTGAATGAGCACAAATTTCCACAGCCACACTCAAATCTTGTGGAAAGCCTTTCCAGAAGAGAGTGGCTGTTTTAACAACAAAGGGGGTGCCAATTCTATAATGCCATGGTTTTGGAACAGGAGGCCCAGCATGCTTCTACAGCTGTGATAACCACTGTACTCTTTTTTTTCAAATACACAATGGGGTTGATTTACTAAAGGCATTAGGATAGCCTTTTAAGTTAGCATGGACAGTTACTGTATTTGTATTGTTACAAGTTAATTTTTCGGCCCCATTCACACTTGGCCATTCTGAGAAAGGCCAAGTGTGAATGGGGCCTAAATAGAACCCCAAACGTGGTCCGATTTTGCTACGAAAAATGTGCAACACTCCTCACCTGAAAAGGTTTTGAAGCTTCCTTGGTGCTTTTATAGGGCAGTCCATTCAAGTGATTAGAAAAGCATTGAAAATGCACAAAAAACCATTATCGGGAATGAACATTCCTGCTACATGAAGTGTGAATGAGGCCTAAATATACGGAGATGTTATTCCCTTTGTTGTCCCCTAATATATAACACTGCACAGTGATTATGTTCCACCTGACCATATTTCTCTTTTTACCATCTTCCAATTCAGTTGATCTTTCTAGCTGGAGAGAGAAAATTGAGAGAGACACTGCAGCACTGTGCCGCCCTGCTAGCAAAGAAGGAGACAGACCATGCAAAGAATCTGATGATGGCGATGCTGTTCTGGCCCAGCAAGTCACCGATGCAGAATTAGGAGCCCCCAGCACAGAGCGCTACAAGGATGGCGTGCTGAGCATCGGCTGTGTAGGTAAGATATAACGAATGCTGTTTTAAAGTATCCCTTTTGCAACATTAGACCTCATTGTCAAGGGCATACTTGAGCATAGATCTGTGCAAAGGGCTGTTTTTGCCTGCACGTGATGCACAGGTGTTCCAAGTATTGGCCTGAAGGCAGACTCATTCATGTCTATTGGGATACAGTGGGGTTGAGTCACTAAAGGCAAATAGACTGTGCACTGCAAGTGCACTTGCTCTGAAATGAAGGGAAGCTCTGCTGATTTTTATCATCCAATCATGTGCAAGCAAAAATTCAGTTTTTTGTTTTTTTTTTCGTTTTCTTGCATGTAATTGGGTATTCTTTGCAAAGTGACTCTTTATCTAATTTTTCTATGCTCTGGAGCAACTCCACTTGCAGTGTGCACAGTATATTTGCATTTAGTAAATCAACCCCAGTGGCTGCACATACACTGCTGCTGGTCCCAATTTTACAGCTGTGCAGGTACAGATCCATGTCCCTGAATGCAGCAAGTGTCTGTGTTCAGGGAAACACACCTGCATGGCTGTCAAATTGGGACCCGCAGCTGTGTCTGGTCAGTTGCTGGGTACCAATGGACATGAATGGGAGTGCCTGCATGCGGATACATGAAATAGCTTTGAATCTTGTGCGGGCAAAGACAGCCCTTTGTACGCTTAAGTACACCTGTGTAAATGAGGCCTTAAAGCTTAACTCTGTGATAAGCAATTATTGTCTAAATACAAGAGGCGTGTGTATTCTTAATCAGATCTTAGTGTGATTTTGTGTATTTTTTGTCTGTATCAGAGCTGTAATCCAGCATGGAAGTTTCCCTTTGTGCAGGAGCTTCTTGTGTAAAAGATTAGTCACTGATGCTCTCTGTCCATGTGCAGGGTGATTGGTCTTATAGCCATTATCTCTTCTAGCTTTCTGCAGAAAGTCTGTAGTGGGAGGACCTGCTGGGTCCCTCCTATATCTCAGCTTTCTGTGCAGGCTATGCACACCCCAGTGACAATATCATTACTACTTTTCCAAGGTAATAACCAAGTTTGCCAAGGCATTTGGCGCACACAGACTGGATTTACTGTATATCCTTTGTGACTATTGAGGAAAATATTTAACTTTTTTAAAATTAAAAATGTGCCTGGAGTTCAGCTTTAGAAGTAGGAAAAAAGATTCCCCTGTAAACAAGAAGTATGACTATGCATCAGCAATTTTTGGCAGGAGAATCCTCTTTATTCATCACATTTCCTGGAAAGTTGGATTCTTTTGTGACTCCAAATGCAAAGATCGAGGAATGGGCCATGGGATGGGAAGGTATATAACATTTTCTATACAGGGGAAATTTTTTTTTTTCATACTCCTTTTTATTAATTTTGCAACAGGGTTGTTTTAAACTGTGATATGTTTGCGTGATAAATGTCACAATTTGTGGTGGAAAATTCTATCAAAAATGTAATCTTCAGAGCCTAAAGGTGGACTTTTGACTGTTCATGTCAATCCCTGTCCCCAAGGAGCTTTTTAATCCACTATTTTCTTACCATTGCCATGCACATGTACACACACAATAGGACCACTGTGTGATATGCTTTTGAGAGGAAAACCAAGCTCCTTGAGAGAACCCACTCATGCAATCCTCTTGCCAGGAATTAAACTTCGTGTTGCAAACAAGAATCCGAGTCACTTCGCTGCCTGGTGACTAAATGGTTGCAATTCTTATACCAAATTAACAATCTATAATCTTGAATTTGTGATTTAAAGTGTTACTAAACCCAGGACCCTGCATTCATTATTTCTGGTCTCCCACAGTACACACAACATGGAAATGCAGTTATTTTACTAGGTATGAACTGCTAAATACCTTTTCTCATCAGCAGTTAGAGCATTCTTGTGACTTCTATCAGTGTTCAACTGAGCACTGTTTAAAGCTTGTAGTAGGAGTTTTCATTCTCCTCTGACTGTCCTATGAGGCTACATGACCCCTAACCCTCTGTCTGGACAGTACTGATTGGCCTTGTGCCGATCACATGCACCCTCCCAAAAGGAAAAAAAAAAGCTCTAGCAATACACACTAAACTGAGCATGTGCAGAGTTACTCCTAGAGCTCTAATATCAGCAGATGGATTGGGGACAGTAGAAGAAGGGGAGGATCAAACAGCCTTTTTACACAATGTGGAGAATAACCCGCTTAGGTTCCATAGTGAGTATAACAAGCCTGCTTGACTGCATATGCAGACTGATTTACTGTTGTGGGTTTAGTAACTCTTTTTAAATAAATATATCAGGTCATAAGCATATTCTTTGGAGAGCCTTAGTGTTTGTCTAGAAGATCTTACCCCTCTAATAGAAGCTAAAATTGTTATGTCTTGGCAAAAAAAAACATGCAGTAAATCTCTGCAGTACATGCACATTACCCCTTGTTTTGTTTCTTTAAAATGTCTAAAGTTCCCTGTGGACTTGGAGAGGGCCCTGCAAATACACCATTTCTTAACTACTATCAGATTGAGTAGTATGAACCAGAGTAGGATTTCTCTATCTGAGCAGCTTTGTTCAGACTTCCCCTATGCTTCACACTCTCTTAATGTCCTATGCTCTGATTTACAAGTCATCTGACGACTATGTTCCTCCCTTTCTTCTGAAATGGGAGCAAAATTTAGTCATGTCCTTGACTCCCTGAAATGGCCCTCCCTGTCTGGTAGATACCAGGAGGCAGGATATAAACTGCTGACTCGCTGGTATAGGACCCCTGCACTTCTTCATAGGATCTATCCTGCTGTATCTTTGTAATGTTGGCGTTGCCAACAAGAACCTGGCACATACATATCTTTTGGTCATGTCCTTGCATACAACCCTTTTGGGAAGATATCAAATGGCTGGTTCATAAGGTTACTGATTTCTCTCTGGAGCTGTGCTCTAGACATTCCTTCTAAACGTCACCCCACTCTTGAGCCGTACGTACAAGAAATCCCTCCTGATCCACTTCCTTAATGCAGCCAAGGTTTGCATCCCACAAAAATGGAAACATACTGATCCTCCATTGGTCGGTCAATTGGATAACTGTGGTAAACTGGATTAATGATCTGGAACGTCTAACATTGGCTTTGAAACATAAAGAGGAACAATTCCGTAAAACATTATTGGCATGACTTTCAGTGTTCAGGAGACTATGCTTTGTATCTGTCCTCCCAGGTCACACGGACTCTGGCCCAGTAAGGATTACATACTCTGTGCCTTTCGGGTTTCTTGGTGGGCACCAATCCCTGTACCCTCTATCCCAGGGTACAGGGATTGGGATTTTTTTTTTTTTTTTTTTTGGTGTGTTACCCTCATTTTTCTTTCACTTATTTCTTCCTGATCCTCATATTTGATATAATTTAGATTTAAAATTGCTCTTTTGGCTTAAGCCTACTTGGGTCAGACCCCCTGTTTATGTACCTGTAGTGTGTGGTCATGAATTATGTTCCATTTTGCACTACTGAAAAACTACTGTTTTTCATGTAATCGCTTCTCTAAAGGTTTTGGAGTCGTACAAGATGACACGGGTCTGGATGTGCATTGACTTTTTCATTGCTCTAATTATGTACCTTATGACCGTCATTGGTTTGCTATGGTTGGCACACTGCTATCTCTTGTTTTGCACCATGTACTTTGCTGAAAAGTGAAAATGCCTAAAGTACAGACATAGGACTGTTGATTCCAGTAGGAATCCAGTGAGTTGATAGTGCAGCTTGTGTTGCACTGAAATCTGAAGTATTGTTGTTAGGCTGGCTCAGTTCTCCTATGGTGGACTACAGAACACCCCAATGTTATGGAAATAAAGAGAGGGGGAAGTGCTTTGTTGCCTGACACAAAATAACTGGGCTGAATTAACAACACTACTTAGTGCCCCTTCACATATATGTGGATTGGATTCGGTTTGAACCACATCCAATCCACATGACATGTGAATTACCATTGCTTCCTATGTTGCCTGTCCACATATGTCCAGTACGGATTCAGTGTGGTTTTAAAAAAAAAAAAAAAAAGAGTCCGGTCCGATTTCTGAGCAATGCGGTTTAGGTGCTGATTACAGGCTATTGACTTTTATGGGAACTGTTCCTAAACCACATACAGTTGTGTTCAAAATAATAGCAGTCAGACATCACTAACCTGATAAGTCACTGTTTTTGGTAGAAATTATATTTCTACATGGCAAATAATTTACTAGCAGGTGTAGTAGAGTAATAGAAATCCAACAGACCCAACAGTCATGACATGCATGCTGCTGATTCTGTGTAATTGAATCACTAATTGAAAGGGGTATGTTCAAAATAATAGCAGTGTAGAGTTCTATTAGTGAGGTCATTCATTGTTTGAAAAACAGGTGGCAATTATTGCCCTTATTTAAGGAAGGAAGGCAGCAAATGTTGGACATGCTGGTTACAGTGCATTTCTCTCTGAAATTCTGAGGAAAATGGGTTGTTCCAGACTTTGTTCAGAAGAACAGTGTACCTTGATTAAAAAGTGGATTGGAGAGGGGAAAACATATAAAGGAGTGCAGAAAATGATAGGCTGCTCAGCTAAAATGATCGCAAATGCTTTAAAATGGCAACCAAAACCTGAAAGACGTGGAAGAAAGTGGAAAAACTACCATTCGAATGGATAGAAGAATAACCAAAATGGCAAGGACTCAGCCAACAATCAGCTCCAGGAAGATCAAAGAAGGTGTAAAGTTACCTGTGAGTACTGTTACAATTAGAAGACACCTATGTGAAGCCAAACTATCTGCAAGAAGCCCCCACAAAGTCCCACTGTTGAAAAAAAGACAGGTGCTGAAGAGGTTACAATTTGCCAAAGAGCACATTGACTGGCCTAAAGAGAAATGACGCAACATTTTGTGGACTGATGAAAGTAAGATTGTTCTTTTTGGGTCTAGTGGCCGGAGACAGTTTGTCAGACGACCCCCAAACACTGAATTCAAGCCACAGTACACTGTGAAGACAGTGAAGCATGGTTGCGCAAGCATCATGATATGGGGATGTTTCTCATACTACGGTGTTGGGCCTATTTATCGCATACCAGGAATCATGGATCAGTTTGAATACATCAGAATACTTGAAGAGGTCATGCTGCATTATGCTGAAGAGGAAATGCCCTTGAAATGGGTGTTCCAACAAGACAACGACCCCAAACACACCAGTAAATGTGCAACATCTTGGTTCCAGACCAACAAGATTGACGTTATGGAGTGGCCAGCCCAATCCCCGGATCTTAATCCAATAGAAAACTTGTGGGGTGACATCATAAATAAATGCAGTTTCTGAGGCAAAACCAAGAAATAGAGAAGAACTGTGGAATGTAGTCCAATCATGCTGGGCTGGAATACCCGTTCAGAAGTTGGTTGACTCCATGCAACACAGATGTACAGCAGTTCTCAGAAACAGGGCTTATATAACTAAATATTATTTAAGTGACTCAAAGGAAAGCAAAATCTTCAAACATTTTTCAGTTTATATAGTGAATGTTTGAGTTTGTAAAGAATACAAACACTATTTTTTTGAAGTCTAATATTCACTTTTCTTCACTTTTTTTTTTTTTTTTTTAGAGGAACAACACAAATTTGATATATTTTTCTTCATGTTTTGATTTGGAATAGAATGTGTAGTGTTCCCAATGCATTTGTGTGTATGGATATAAAAAAGCTATTAGAAGGATTTTGAGCTTTATTCACTTTTTTCAAAACACTGCTATTATTTTGAACACAACTGTATATGTCAACAGGATAAGATCCTGAGCCAATCCTGTCCTGAACCTGATGTAAACCTGTGAACAGCTGCTGTATCAATTAGCTGTAAAACCTGAGCTTCAATCCAAACCACATGTGTGAATCAGCTGTTAGGATTCATTGCCGCAAATGCACTGTTATCAACTCGGGAACTTTTGAACACACTGGATTTCTGGCAGATCAGCAGATATTTTTCTGTACTTGCAGAAAAAATAGGGAGGAATGTGCATGTGTTGCAGAGCTGTACTAAACGTTTGTTTTTTGTTTTTTTTTCTTTTCTTTCTCAGACATACACTTTAATAGTAGTAGAGCCCCTCAAAATCTCTTTTATTTTAAATAATACAGACATTCCTTGTACAAAAACTAAAATTACATAAAAGTCCTGATATATATTTTTACAAATTTGGGCTGTCTACTCTTCATCTGTTGAACTGCCCAGCAAGGCTTGTATAATCCCAAAAGTCCTGTGCTTTGTTATATGTTGCATTTTAAATTGAATTGAACGGTTTTCCCATGTGCTAGCACAGTGCACTGTTTTGGATTGGTAGTATTATACAGAATTTATATCACGCCAGTAGTTTTTGAAGGGCTTTACAAAGTGGAGACAGACGGTACAGTTATAATACAATCCAATACAAGAGCAATTGAGGAGGAGGTATTGGTCAACTTCATCAAAAGCAACAGAGAGGTCCAAGAGTAAGAGTACAGATAGTGGCCATTGGTTTTAGCAGTTAATTAGTAGTTTTTAAGTGAGTTGTAGGCGAATAGTTTCTCTGTAGTGTTGCAGGACAAATCCAGACCGAAGGGAGTCGAGGAGGTTATTCGTAGTAAGGTGAGCCCTTTAGTCATTGGCTGTCCTGCTGTTTCCTTCATGAGAAGAGAGGGTTTGTCCTGCAGAGCAGTTGATATTAAGCATTGTTTGTTGTGGAGGGGGGAGTAGTAGGATTGTGTATTTTGTTGCTGTTTTCTGCAATAACATGCAAAATAGTTTTCTAGTCTTCTTAAAACAAAGAAAACCACTGTTTTGTTTGCTTTTTTTTGCATTCAGTTCCCTTATTGAATTCCCATCAAAATTACTAGTTCCTAAGCGATCACAGGCTGGCCAAGCATAAATATTAGTTTGGCATAAAAAAAGGATGCTCCAGTATGTGTAAGGAGCAGGTGGACTATAACAAATGTGACATAGATAAACGTGTCCCCATTCTCAGTATTCTGAATTCATTGTGGGGTTTTTTTCTGCTCTGATTTAAAGGATTCCCAAATGTAGGGAAGTCATCGTTAATCAATGGCCTTGTGGGCAGGAAGATTGTCAGTGTTTCTCGAACCCCCGGTCACACCAAATACTTCCAGACCTATTATCTGACGCCCACAGTACGCCTTTGTGATTGCCCTGGCCTCATCTTCCCATCGCTGATAGATAAGCAACAGCAGGTAAGTCCCTATACCAAGATAAGAGAAGGTACTCATTTACATGCTCTTCCAGGTGTGTGATTGCCATAGTATACAGACTTTACTAACAGATGCTGTGAGCTGAGTTTAGTTTTCCATTCTTTCTAAAAAAAAAAAAAAAAAAAGTATTTACCACCAATTTTGTGTTGGACCAAGCATGCTGGCCTGTTAATTATGACACAGCAGCATATCCTGCCCCCCCCCCTGTCTGGTATTCACCATAATGCCATGATAATGGAACTGGCTGATCTAATGGGTAGCTGAAAAAATGACTGCTGACGTTCTGCAGTAGTAGTAGACTTGGTAGTCTTCCAGCTTGCTGAAGTAGTAGTAGCAGGTCAGGACCCCTACTCTGCGGGGTCCTCAATTAGAGGGATAACAGCACTATACAAATCAGATTTCTCTGCAGTGCAGGTCTGTGTCAGGACATTTGTGATGATGGGTGTGTCTGTTCTGCAGTTATGCCAGCACAGAGCACTAGAGTGGGAGAGCAGAAAGCCACATGTTCACTGAGAGAAGGGGGTATTTAGGCATTGCTATTTGAAAAAACCTTTCCAAATTATATGCAAGGATGTAGGACTATAAATACATTTACAGGTGTGAAATTTCAAATGTGCTTTAATCCATCCATGCTGTAACTCCCTCAGCTACTTGCTGGTATATACCCGATTGCACAAATTCAAGAACCTTATACCTCTGTGGGCTACCTGTCTTGCCGAATACCTGTTCCCAGACTCCTCAAACTGACTCATCCAGAAAGAGGCGAGCAGGGTTGGACAGCATGGTACATCTGTGAAGGTAAGAAGCTGATAATTGGTTAGCATGTTCACCTTGTAGAGTTCCATTAGATAGTGATTTAAATCCATGTTCTTATCCCTCCCCTTCTGAACACAGCCTGGGCTGAAAAGCGTGGATATAAGACTTCAAAAGCCGCACGCAATGATACCTACCGAGCTGCCAACAGTTTGCTACGCCTTGCCGTGGATGGACGACTTTGTTTATGCATGAGGCCTCCAGGCTACTCACGTCGCAAAGGTATTTTCAGGATTTCCTTCTGTTTTCAGTCAATGAAGTTACTTGTTTTACAGTTAGTTTTCATTTCGTTTTCCCCTGTGAAGCCTGACTGACAAATACCTGTTGAGCCTGCCAGTGAAGTACACGTAATGCAGCTATATGTGGTGGTGTGACAAAAATGCTGCACTGCTCTTGAATTTATAGCAGAGTTGCCACTCTAATGTAGGCTATGTCTGCTTGCACTACAAACTTTTTGTTGCTTTTTTTTTGTTTTTTGTTTTTTCAGATTTATGATTTTATTTATAATTTTTTTTTTTTCCCCCATTTAACAAATACTAAAACAAAATAACTACCCACCTCACAGGGTGGAACAAACAATCCAACAACACAAATTAATAAATAAAAGAGAAAGGAAGAAAGGGAAAAAAAAACACACCGGAAAAGAGTGCAATCATCACAATTAAGTGATTAACAGATTGCCTCTATCAAAAATTAGGATACTAACACTCTATCCATTTGGACCATATTGCTTCAAACTTCCATTTAGAGTACCTAAGATAGTAAGTATGTTTTTCATAGAGAATATGTTTGTTTGAACCATGTTACAGAGGGCTTGGCTATCAGCGTTGTCACTGCTGATCCACAAGCATGTAGCTTATCAATCAGCACCTGACCACATGTAGTCCTGTCTCCATTCCTAAAACCCTCCCATTGTGAGGTCCAGTATCTGGGGAAAGTTTGTGAAACCCAAATAATGGAGGATTTAACTCCGTCAAGGAAGGTAAAATGATTTTGTTTACTCAGTGAAGCTTGTGCATCACATAGTTACTGGATTTGGTACCAGTTTAGATTGTAATATAGGAATACAACCCAAACCGGAACTACACCACCTTGTGCAGTGACCAGGGACAAAGTAGATATGAAACCAACACAAAACCTATAGCTCATCAAGATGCCCTCTAAAATGTAAATCATAATTAAAGATGTATAAACTAATAAGTAATATATGTGCATCCTGCTCTAGGTAACCCAAGCCAACTCGGTAGAAATTTCAATTGATTAAATGTGACAGCAGCTTTCACTGATATTGCACACAAATATCTAAACCAGTCTTAAGAAGATAAAGTGTTGTGCTGCCATAGATATTCAACATATCATAAATCACAACACAAAAATAAATCAATCAAAGTCCCAGAGTGTAAACTGAAAAGTCCATCGTGAATGAACATCTTGATAGATTCAAAGTGCACCAGCCACCATGTGAAAGAAGAGGCTGCTTACCAGAAGTTTAGACCGCACATAATAAGAGGTCCAAAACCGCACGTGGATGAGGCAAGAACCCACAGGGATGGTTGGATGGATGGCTCTACACCACTTGGTCTCCTCAACTGTCAATACCTCAGATCCCCCTCACACTGATATCAAGCCACAGGATGACTTCAAATTCATTCAGTATATCCCGTTTCATCATCATAGGTACATACCAAAAAAAGGGATAAAGGTATCCCATAGTGAAATACTGTTGATCAATTTATTAAAAGTGAATGGAAAGATACTGACAAGCATATAGCAATAAGAGCATTAAAAAAACGCAATGCCAGTGCTCAGGGCGCACCTAATGACGTCACCACTATTTTCCGCTTGATATATATTTCATTCAATTGAGCGTCTTCTAGGGGCATCAGAGTAGTAGTGAATAGAAACTGCAGATCTTTATAGAACGCAGATTAACCAACACCAGAGGGCACTCATCCTCTCCCAACACTACCCAGGTAAACTTAATGAGATTGTTCTGTGCGGCTGCTACAAAAAGAGATCCAAGAAAATGGACCAGAAAATACATAATAAATATTGTAATATGTAACAAATACAATTTTAAATATTTAAAAATGATCAATGACAAGATTCAGGTATCCCAGTAATTTAGATAACCCCATTGGAAAAGGGGCTGTAGCGACATCAGTTTATCTAAGAATGGCAATACATTTCCACGCAGAAACCTAAACGCATGGATTAACCTATAAATATTATTTAGCAAAACCCACTAAACTATAACTTTTTTTTTTTTTCTTATAGATGAGGATATAATCCATAAAAATGTTAATATTAAACACCAGCACGAATGTATCATGCATATATAAATGCATCATTTTAAAACATTTTGCATAAATTACATAAACCAGATAAAAATATGAAAATTATTAAATGAATAAAAATAGCAAAATTCACCAGTATTTAGGATTAAATGTTGAGTGGGATATAAATTCCTTTATTAATAATGGCTAATGGCCTACATGACTGCAGTTGGTAAATCCAACATGTTTTTCCCGTTGCAAGATATGTCTCATGTTGTTACTCCCTCTCCAATGTGCCCTAAAATTTTCTATTCCTACCACCTTTAAACAAGTGGAGTCTTTTTGATGACGCAGGGCAAAATGCTTAGGACTATATTTTTTAACCCTTTCTTGGTATTGGTCAAATGCTCCCTATTCTAACATTGTTCTAACATGTAGTGCCCTTTTTAGTCCTATCCACATACTGCAGGTGGCAGGGGCATTAAAGGAGGTAGACAACATTCTTGGTAGAACAGGTGATAAACTGATCAATTTTGTATATTTTTATGGGTAACGGTAGACTGGAAAGCTTTGGTCCTGTGTTATGTTCCAACATTTACATACTAGACACTTCCTACATGAAAGAAACTTTTAAGATTACTGAAAAAGGTAGGTTGTTTCGGATGCTCAATAACTGTATGAGCAACCAAATTTCTCAAGGTCATAGCTCTATTAAAAATGACCTTAGGTTTACAAGGTAGAATGGGTACTAGCACTTTATCATTCTTAAGTGCATCCCAATGTTTTTCTAAAAGTCTTTTTACCACATAATGTTGCTCTGAAAAAGTAGTTGGGTGCATCCAAAACCAGAGGCACCCTCTTTCCTGGTCTTGGGGGTTAATAAATAATTTCTATCTAAAGGTGAAACATCACGTATTATTATATTATCTTCTGAGGAAGCAACAGTATAACGCTTATCCAAAAATCTCTCTTTATTAACCTGAGCCTGTACAAATCATCTGCTCTGTGCAGTCCTGTCGTATCCTAAGAAAGTGTCCTTTCGTGATCACATGTAGCCATGACTGATGATGACACCATAGGTACATACCAAGTTTTTTGGTATCTACCTATGGTAATGATGAAACAGAATATACTAAATGAATTTGAGGTCATTTTGTGTCTTGATATCAGTGTGAGGGGGATTCGAGGTATTGACAGCTAAGTAGGCCTAGTGGTGTGGAACCATCCATCCAACCATCTCTCAGGGACTTTGATTTATTTATTTTGTGTTGTGATTTATTATTTGCTGAATGTGTATGACAGCGCAACACTTTATCTTCTTAAGATAAACCAATAAGTTGCTCTTAAAAAAAAAAATAAGGATTTCACAGTTGTGGTAACAATATAAACTATTTACACGTATAAACTCCAAAAGGTTTTATCAAGAACATCTAACTGAAGAGAACTGGAGTTCTATAAATATTATACAGAAGATACCATAATCCTAATACCAGTAGTGACCACAAAAATAACCAAACACCAATGTGCACTAAACAAGCGAGCTGCTATGTAGAAATAACAATACCACTCTGTTTTGCTCTGTCAAAATAAGCACCAAATGACCTCAAAATTAAAGCCGCTGTACACAAATACAAATCCCATATAATTGAGCATAAATTCAAAATGACAAAATATTATGCAGTGCTATAATTGAACTCTTCAACATTAATACAAATCAAAACATGAATACTATACAGTGTGTATAGTATTTTAGTATAGAATACTAAAAGTCCTCTTTTATGCACCAAATTATGCTTTTCAGTTGTGAAAGCACCTTCCGTGCTGCAACCAGTGACCACACCACCACTAGGTGTCTGCTCCCCTCCTATATATGACCTCACACTTAATGTTCGGTCATAAAACGCTTCTTTTCCTTTCTATGGACATCATGGATGTTGCTTATGTCCAGTACTCGCTCCACACGTCCCCTCCCAACACCTCTCCGTTTCATGCAAATGAAACTTAAATGTGGTAGTTGCATTTGTTTTCTTTTTTTCAGGTTTGTTTCACCTGGTTATCATGCTAACAATGCACTTCCTGTCCATTGTTGGTTATACTCCTTCACTGTATCTATGGAAGGAGTCGTGGTTGCCACCCAGGCAACTACACCACGTCTGCCTTTGTTCATCTCCATTACATGGTGGATTGATGGGATCTTGCCAGAAAAGCAGGGAACTTGCTTGAAATACCTGTTGTTCTTGACAAAAACCAATGTCCTTGTCCCTTTCCTGTGGGCTGACCTGGAAGCAAAGTTATCCAGCCCAGTGTTTTTGTCCCACACACAACCATGTTTTTGTTAGTTCCACCTGAATCAAACAAGGATTTCCTCTGCAAGCTATGCGCACTACAAAAAGACACCACATATAAAATGTCTTCTGCCACCATTGTATAAATTCAGGGTTCCGGCTATTTGTCTGACACCTTCAGGAGTTGCACTTTGCAGGAGCATGTTTCTGCCAGAACGTGTTAATTTTTTGGCTTTCCCTGAACAGAAGGTCCAGTCCTATCAACCCCACCTAGGTGTTCTTACCTAAAGCTTAGATGTAAGGGATTTTTGTTTTTTGTACTTTCGATTCGTGTTTTTTTTTTTGTTTATTCAGGGGTAGGGCTTGCTTGCTAATATGCAGTCACGATTCCGCTTACTCCACAAAAAGCTGTACCTGAGGATCTGTACTGCTTCATTCATTGTCTGAAACTGTGTTTTCTATACTTCTTGATCATATCGCCACCAATCATGCTCCTCTATCAAGACTGCTGCCTCCACACAGAGACACCGTACAGAATAGAGCATGGTAAACCAGTAAGTAATGTAGATGGCATCAGTTGCAGGGAAGTCTATAGACAATACTAATGACTAGTTCTTTCTCCTGTGCTTGCCTTTTTTGGGCACAGCTTCCTAGGTTCAGGTCCTTTTTAACTATTTTGCATTAAAAACCCTTTCATAAAAATGTTTTCTTCATATACTGGCTGTTTCCTCCAATGGTGATAAGCAACAGGAC